GCCTATAGAAAAAAAAAAAAAAAAGAGAGAGAGAGAGAGAGAGAGAGAGAAAGGGACAGAAAGGCAAAGGGAGGAGGAGGGGACAGTGGGGAGGAGCAAGGACAGACTGGGGTGACAGAGAAGGGCGCCAGGCAGGGAAGGGGGCCAGTCGGGGGCAGGAGCCAGGCTGGGAGGTAAGGCAGGTGGAGGTGCGGCTAGGCAAGAGAAGGGGACAGGCTAGAGAGGCAGGCAACGGGGGCAGGGCGGAGGTGGTGCAGGGCGGTGGGGAGGGGCTGGCACCTGTGACGTTCTTGCGTAGCTCATCATCCTGCTCACGCAGCGTCCGCAGCAGCTCGAAGATACCGTTCTCCTCCACCAGGGCCAGCTTGTTGTCCGCGTTGTCATAGATGAGGTTGCGCATCGCGCCCGTGGCGTGACGCTGCACCTCCTGGTTGGCGTGGTTGAAGAGCTTCACCAGCCTAGGCACTGCCTGAAGGCTGCGGGCCTGCGGACACAGGCGCGTGGGCATTGGCACAGGTGTGCAGAGACGGTACAGGCGTGTGCAGGTGTGCACAGCTGTGTGCAGATATGGGCGTGTGTCGGGCACATGCAGACAGACCCGGGGTGTGGACACAGGAGACGGCGGTGTATGTATATGTGTACGTGTGAAGCAGAGCGGGCGGGTGTGGCAGGCGGTGCAGCCGTGTGCATACAGGTGCAGGTCCCCTCCTGCCTCTGCTGAGGACGCTCTGGACAGGTGGGATCTGCCCAGTCAGCTGGGGCAATGAGGAGTGTGAGATGGCGGTTGCTGAGGGTGCTCGTGAGGGGCGTTCAGGGGCCAGCGGAGTGGTCACCACGCATAGGGAGGGTTCACAGCAGGGCAGTCACCTGCTTCTTGGCCGCGGCGTCACTGTAGCACTTGTGCTGGATGTAGGCGGCGCCCAGCACCTGCAGGTTGGGGTCTGAGGCCATGAGGTACTTGACTGCGGAAGGCAGGTCGATATCATCGAAGCTGCAGAGCCAGGGGTCAGCGGTCAGGCTGGCCTGGGGTCAGGCCAGGACCATGGCAGCAGCCCCCTCCCATGCCAGGCCCAGCTGGCTCACCCGCTGCTGAGCCTTTGCAGAGTGCGGTGGCCCATGTAGCTGTCCAGCCCACGCATGTCTGGCAGGGGGCCAGTGTCCGGCAGGCTGG